ATATATATATATTCATGTAATCGAGACATAATATTACATAAATAAATATCAAAGTTTAGGTGTTAGATATGTGAATGAATACAAAAGAATTGTGGCATGTACCTAAAACAAGTTGGAAATACAAATTTTCAAATATACATATATTGATGTAATTGAGACATTATAGCTTTATATAAATGAATATCAAAGTTTAGGCATTAGATACCTAAATACAAAATTGTGTGGTATGCATATCACCCAAAAAATAAAACTAAATAGGAAAATTCGCTGCCAATAAAGCTTTAAACACCATAAAACTTGCATGAAAAAAAGAATGAAGGATTTCAAATTTGTTCACTAGTTAACCCAGCAAGGAAACGCACTCGTCTCACTTTTGTAGCATTAGTTGAATAGTGGTTAATAAACAACAGGACAGTTTAAGTTAAACCTCTGTTGTTCACCGAGCGGTGCTGTATTGATCTTCACTAGGCAAAAACAACAAATATAATTCGCAGTAGAGGTAAAACATACCGTGGATAATTTATTTAAGGTACCATCTATCTGCACAAAATAAGCCTCTAAAAGCATCTCCAATTCCTCAATATTAAGCTTAAAAACACCTGAGCTTCCACTGGTGCTCTCTGTTTCAGTTTTGACAACCACCCTGAGAAAATATAAAATTTGATAGTCTATTCAACATTATATTTAACATTACAATAAAAAGATAATGAGAAGATAAGACAGAATCCAGCTTCAATAGATTAGCAAGCAGAATGCGTCAATAGCATTGCATAAATTTTAAGAAAAGCTGTTAAAATTCAATATAATAGGAAGCTTTACTATTCTTGAAGATATTCATTTTGAAGAAAATTTGAAGGAAAAAAAGCCCAAGTTAAAAAAATAAATCATCAACAATACTAGCTTTATGCCAATTATCTTGGCAATTGTTAGATGGATCTACATTATCCATCTATTCTACTCGAGTAGTAGAGGTATTAAATTCAACTTTTGTAAATATCTTCACAATTCTCCATAGATTTGCCTTGTCTTTCGTAATCCTTTCTCATTAATTTAACTATCCAAGTTATTGATGCATCTTTAGCTATACTTGGTGTACAACAAGCCAAGTCAACTTTCATTTTCCATTTTGCCTCTCAATCCTCATTTAATTATTTATTGATTCACCCTTCCTAGTTTTGGCAACACACTAAATCAGCTCATTTCAACTGTCTAACTTGTTTATCTTTGACTTTTTATTACCCAAAAATATAGTTCTTATAACATAGCCACTTTAATCACAAGTTCGTAAAATTTATACTCAATTCAAATTTCACAATTACTACTTAAGCTCGACTCTAGAAGTTAAATAACAAATATTATCTCCATTATTCAATATAATCAATCTAAAATGAATAAAAAAATGCCACAAAAAAAAAACCAACATCTACAACAACAACAACCACAAGCTAACTACATAAAATGAGCTCATGCAAGTGTAAGCGGGTTCTAACCTAGAGGTTTCAATGTCTAATTAATGCAAAAGAAATCAAGGGAGTAAACCTTTTATATTAGACTTCAGAGAAAGAATTATTTTTAAAATCCTTAGCGTCACAATATTGTCCAAAAGGTGCTACCTCTACAATTGCTAATGCCTTCAATTGCAAAGTTTGCGAGTGAAATAAGAACACAAATTGAAAAATTCTATCAGTGGCATCTACTCAATTCCTAAACTCAGCTGCAGGATGTAACAAAAAAATAATAATAAAACAGCTGGTTTATAAATTTGAATTTAACAAAAAGCAAAAGATACTGAATGCTGATAAGTATGTTGGCTTTATTACTCAAATCTATCTCACTGCTTGATATAGTATGCCTTTATATAGAGGCAATTGAGGTAATTACATATTTATGGAGGTGTGCCTTAGATGTGACTTGCTGTTATGATTATATGGTAGTTATGTGAGGGTTTTCTGTGCCCATATGCACGAGGCCTGCTTGGCTGCTAAAAAGCACACACATTTTCTATCGCCTACTGTTTAAAACATGCATTCTCGTCAACTTGAATGAGAAGGGTAGAGAAAAACCAAAATAATAATAATAATAATAATTTACATACCTATCCTCATTTAGTTCGAGTTCATCGCCTGTATCAACTCTTGATGAATTATCACCAATTCGCTGGTTAGCAAGCTTCTCGGTTAAATACATTTCAGCCATATCCATGTCATCATCCAAGAGGTGTTCAAGTTCATCCCTTAACTACCAATATATACAGTTTAGCTATTGAGGAATGAATTACAGGTCTCAAACAAATTCAGTTTGAAAACAATAAGAAAGAAAATTCATTCTGTAACCAAGCATTGGCATGAGTTCATTAACTCAGAGGAATGAAGATTGAAGAGAAACTTTCATTTCCTGAAAAGATGGAAGCACGGGACAAACAATGCAGGATCATTTCCAAATGAAGAAATTATTGTACAGGCTGCAATACAGGATCATTTCCAAATGAAGAAATTATTGTACAGGCTACAATGCAGGATCATTTCCAAATGAAGAACTTATTATACAGACTACTAAGGCTGCTAAATCAGGCTTACCTTCTGCACACGGCCAGAAATTGCAACAAGTCGGCTTTTTATTTGTCTAACACGCTCAAGGTTAAGAGTGCTGATTTTTGAGGTCAGCTCGTCTAAAGCAGGATATGCCTCGTGTTCCAATGTCAATGTCTGAGAGTGAAATAATTTTAAGGAAAATAGTCAGGAGGATGATACGAAATAGAAATACAGCAGCGTTGATTGATCAAAGGATAAAAAAAAAGGGAAAGCCACTGCTTTTGGAAGCTTAGAATATACATAAATTTTCTTCTGAAATCCATTTCTAGCAAGCTAATTTCCATTTGCAATCCTACATTTGTTAACATTTATTGCTTAATTTTATCCACAGTGAAGTAGAATTAAAAGGTTATCTTATACCAAGTTAGGTTTGAGAAGTTGCATAAACTGCAAGTCGTGTATTCAAAGCACATAATGCAATACAATGCACAAGAGTTCCTTTTTACTTCAATAAATAAAGAAAAAAAATAAAATGGCGTTCATCAAAACTATTGTGCTCATACCTTTCAGGTCGTATATTTATCTAGAGCCTTAAACTTGTGAAATAGAAAAACAATATTAAATAACAATCAAATTAAATATTAAAAATATTAATATCACCTCAAATATATAAAAAAATTATATAAAATTTAAAATAAACAGCTCAAATGCAAAAGAACAAAAAAAACTAAAAAGAAAATACAAACATGAAATTAAACAGAGAAGAGATAAAAGAACAAACCAATCATTTATTCAACCAAATATACACCAAATATAAAATTAAATTTTAAAAACTTCAAAAATATAATGAATAAATATACTACTGTACTTGATATGAAAGTCATAAGCGTCAAGTTGACCAGAGATCTGCAACAAACACCAGCAGAGTTGAGCATTGATCTTTTGTGATGGAGGTTGAGGTGAATGTGGAGTCATAGTCGAGTGTAATTCTTCTATGAAGAAGATGGAGGAGGTAAACGCTGAGTTGAGAATCAATCTTTTGCAATAGAGAAAGCAAATGCGCGCACAGCTCTATTGGTCATATCCAACAACCACTGATGGAGATAAAACGAATCATAAGTGAAGAAGATTCAGTTGTTGCATCTATTTTTTTATTCTAATGTTATCCTTCTATTTTACAATTTAAATTAAACTGAATAGATCAGCGTTCTTCTTGCATGCACTTCAGCGCTTAAGCATGTAACATGTGCATAGTAAGCCCAAGCCACTTGAGACGGAAACAAAACATAGCACAATCATTTGCAAACAAAAAAAGATACTTGGTTAAAATGAGAATCAAGAGTAGAGTTAGAGATAGAACTGTAAAACATATAGCAAATGATTTTATCAAGCAGTAATTCCTTTCAATAGAGTGATGTTGGAGAATTTTTTTTTATTTATTATTTATTTTTTAGTGAAGTTAAAAAGTTTTAATCATATAATGAAAGCAATTGCGCAATAACCAGATTATTGACCACCATTCTATTATGAATTGCGAGTTTCACAACTCAAAAAAGAATTGCAAGCAGATATAAGCAATGTGGAAGACTAAAAAAAATAAATGAAGGAATGCCTCTTATGTCAGATAGGTGAACTGATTGTAGAGAGTGATGTACATATAATTTATCACCATACACTATATTTTTAGAGTTATTAGGTGCACCTGAACATTAAAAAACTTTCATTAAACTTTTTAAAATTTTAAATGCATAAGAACAATATTTGAAAAGAAAATGTGCTTCAAGTGATTACAGATATCACTAAAATTAATTTTTCATAATTTGACTTTTTAGGCACTGTTATATGTTGGTTTGTTGCTGCTGTTATTCCTATTTCCCCCTTGATTGCTGAAGCTGATGCAACGGTGTTTGATTTGATGATTGGTAAAAACCATGGCTAGAAATACATTAATTTAGAGATGGATTTTTTAATTCTATGGAATTATTGCAGGTTTAAGAAGGATTATCATTGGAGCATCAATACACAGAGGAAAAGAATTAAAGATTTGACCAATAACTTGTATATTTGTTGAACTCACACAGAGAAATGGAAATAATGTGGCTAACTGGGCTGCAAAGTTTGGAAATCATCTTAATTCTGCTTTTATTTCTAAGAAGGTCCCTTAGGTTTTAGAACAACTTGTTCAGTTGGATTTCCATTAGTTGCTTATGTTTCTTCTTTATCCTGATTTCTTTGTGTTTTGGTTGGTTTCTTTGTGTTGTTGGGTGGTGTGAGTTGTATTTTGTTTTTTTCAAGAAAAGGAACCTTAGATTTTTTGTTTTTGTGTGAGTTGTATGGGGTGTGTAGTAGGTTCATCTTGCCTTTTGTTGTAAAAACTTTTTGTGTGGAATAAAATTCCCTATAGAGTTTATTAAAAAAAATATTATTGTAATTTAATAATTTATATTATTTAATATATAAACATTTAATTTTTTATAATGTTAGAGAGTGCTAATTTTTTAAATTAATGCATGTCAAATGCTTATGGAGATGATGGCGCACATATACTAGACAACATACGTAGCTCAATGTACAATCTAATGTTACAAGATGTTGAGAAAATAATCGAGGTAAGAAATACTAACTATATATATATATATATAATCATGGACTTATTTCAATATCATTAGCTGCGAGCATACATAAGAAAAAATAAAATTTAAGACATACTTGTTTCTAAGGATTAGACCAAGTAAAAACTTAGTATTTTAATATCATTAGTTACGAGCATACATAAGCAAAAATAAAATTTAAGACATGTTTGTTTCTAAAGATTAGAGCAAGTAAAAATTTAGTATTTTAATATCCATAGTTGCGAGCATACATAAGCTAAGGAGATCATTCGCAAGGTTAGATTTTTAGAATAATAGAATTTACAATTGGAAGGTAGCGCAATAGTGAATCTGTGAATATTTGTAGATAGTCACAAATGACAAAGAATGGGTTACATTTTTAATGAAACAGACATAATCAGTTATGCGATCAATTGTGAGTTGGAGATAAAAAATGAGTAAAGCTCTTGAATTGTTGACCATAAATAGATGTGTTAAGCTTGAAAACTATTATATCAAATTGAATATTATCTTAATCTAAAGTTTTTTTTTCACAGTCCAAAATACAATCAGATTGATAGTTGATAGAAGGCTTATAAGCACTTAATAGAAGCTTGGTAGGAGACCTAAATGAAAAAATTATCATAAAGTATGAGCTTTCTATTTAAAATCGTGTGGTTACTTAGTTGTAATTGAGTATGTCATTTGCAACAAAGATAAATATCCGTAGGTATGACAACTGAAGTTTCTATGTAATTTGAAGTCATTAATTGATTACTTTTTTCTTATAACTTTGTAAATGCAATACAATAGAGCAGTAAGAGATCTATGTTGTGCCAACCCCAACTTTGCAAAATTAGTTGTTAAGATTTTATAATTGGCTTAGGATGTTAATAGGCGTGAGAGAAATTAGAGTGTATTCGAGTGGGTTAATAATTTCAAAAATTTTAAATGTAATAAGGAATTCATTATATTTTTTATACAGGTACTTACAAAAAAAAAGAGAAATTAGTTAGATTAAAAGCATTCAAATAATATAGCTTTCATCAAATACAATTAAACTTTAAAAAGAAGATTAATTTAATAGATGATATTGAACCAACTAGTTAGGATTCTATTATTTAAAGCTATGAGTGGTTGATCAGATAAATGAAAGATATTGATACGCAACAATTTGGTGATCACTTGGAGACAGATTAAAGATTCTTTAGAAGATGTTAATAGAAATATTTTATAAAATTGATAGGTCAAAACAAAATGAAAGTTCAAACACATGGAGTGTTATTTCATTTTGGCCTGCATCTACTTTAATTGTGTAAGAAAGACAAGAAAAAATTGATTCATAAAAGGAGGAGAATCACAATTTAAAGATAAGAAAATGATGGTTAAAGGAGAAAGTGATTATGTGAATGAAAAGAGAATGATGACAAATGAACTTTTTAATTTATTTTATGAAACTTGAGGCTTTATTAATTTATTTATACATAAAAATTAAGCTTTTATTATGAATTACAAGAAAATTTTTATGCAACGTTCAAGTTTCAAATTACAACATCAAAATATTAAGAATTATTACAAAATTTCATTGAAGGATCAGCCTTGAAGTTTATTTTCAAATTCAGTATGTGCATCATATTTCTTTCTACTCTATATCAAATTTTAAATTATTAAGAAAATTCTCAATATTTTTTATTTTTTCTTGAATAGATTATTGTGTTTAGAATTTTATATAAGTTATATGCACTGTAGTCCCTTTGTGCATTTAATCCAAAAGAAACCCTTACGGATCAAATTACAGTTTAAGCTATGAAAAAATTGATTGTATGCTGCTTAACACATCATTATCAAAAAAAATAAATATCTTATTTACTTTCAATAGGTAAAATTTGCATGATAATATATATAATCGTACAACTTTTTGATGCTAGAAAGTTAACCTGGGAACTAGTTACCATTATAATGAGGCAGTATATTTTTGTTATTGACAAGATTACCTAGAACACATTAGCAAAACTGAAATTGATTAATTTCTATTTTAAGAAGTATCAAAATATACTAAGAAAGATAGCTTGAATTGTGTTCATCAAGTACATGAACCTTCAGCATATTGAAATGATGTGATCACCAATAAACAATATTGATGCAAATCAGTAAGAAAAATGAATATGCAAGTCAAAAGCCTATAGAGAAATTGAAATGTCAGCAGTATCTCAAAAGTCTTCCATGCATATGAGAAAAGGTAGAAAAATTATTTAGGGCTCATTTGGAATCAAATTTGTTTTTGTTCTTAAAATTTTGAAGCAAGAAATTACTGGTTTGTATTTTGTAAGCACTTTTACTGTTTATTTTTAAAAGTAATATTGCTCCAGAAAACATCCAAAATAAATTTAGGCATTTTCATTTTTTTCCAAATATGAACTTCTAACCACCGGACCTTGCCAACCATGTCAGTGGACCTGTCCATGTAGGAGAACCTTCCACCCTATATGATATTTAATTAAAAATTAATAAATGAAAAATACTTGAGATAAAACTTACCTTTTTATTTCCTCTACAAAAATATATATATATATAGATTATAAATAAAAAGTGATCCCAAATAGCACCTTAGTAAATAGGCAAAGAAAACATATCCTCTCACAACATTCCTAGGTGAATAGAGCAAATACCTCTGATTCAAGGTGCCTACAAGCTGACTCAAGACAGACTTCAAGTGCTCTAAACTCAAAAGGTAACACTTTGGCACCGCCATTGTTGTACGCATCTAAAGTTGTTCTAGGGCTGCCTGTTTGTATTTCATAACTTCGGACAGCCTTAGCAGCATGATATGCATCCGAATCACTAGATTCTGCAACCTTCACATCGAAAAATATTCACTGATTACACAAAAAGAAATGAAGTATTAAATCAAAGATATGTAAAAAAATATACAGGCACAACTATGAGATTCATGATATAGATGAGAAGCAAACGACATTTGAATAGGAATATGAGTAGATTAAAACATGAATAAAGAATTGGACGGATACAATAATGCTTGTTATTGCTTTGGTGCCACAAATTAAACTTCTTCCGTCAGCTAATTCAAAACTTTGTTATGCTCACGTAAGGATTAGAATTTATATATGTTAAATGAACTATTGCAGCCAAGAAGGTAACTCTTTCATTGATGGTCCCATGTTCAACACATCTCTTGAAACGAACATAAAAGCACAGTTGAAACGATAAAAGTTGGAAACGGATATAAGAATGGAAAACACAAGAATACAAGCTACAAACTTTTAGAGGCAACTGTACAGCAAAAATAGCAAATGGATGGATGGATGGATGGATGGATGGATATATATTGTGCTTTTCTTCCTTTTTTTTCCATACTCTTTTTCATTCAAAAGGTGTTGTGGTAATAGGTAATGAACAAAAAGATGATAATCAATCTATTAGCCAAGCGCCAACTAAATTGTGGCGTTGTTTGATTTGCTAACAATTAGCCAAGCGCCAACTAAATTGTGGCGTTGTTTGGTTTGCTAACAACTAGGTCATATTGTTATCTCAAATACAAATCTTAGTTGTTTGGTTCATGGATGGATGGATGGATTGTGTGCTTTTCTTCCTTTTTTTTCCATATTCTTTTTCATTCATGATATTTAAGCTTCCACCTAGTTCCCAACGCAAATAAAGTCTGAGTTTGTTCACATCAAATGTATGTGCCAAAAATTTGTGCGGGTCAAAGAGAGAAAAGGTGTTGTGGTAATAGGTAATGAACAAAAAAATGATAATCAATCTATTAGCCAAGCGCCAACTAAATTGTGGCGTTGTTTGGTTTGCTAACAACTAGGTCACATTGTTATCTCAGGTTCATTGACATTTTAAGATTGGAGCTATATAGATGTAACAACCTAATATATTAGCTATTAGACAATAGTTATGTATGAAAAATTTCATTGATTTCAATCAATTAAGTAGGATCTCAATCTAAGCCAAGTCAGTTGAAGTATGTCTCCGTTCAATTCTTATAGGTGAGCTATAAGTTTAATGCTCTTTATCAAGATGCATTAAACACTAATCAAATGCGCCAACATTATCCCAAAGCATATCAGATTGGGGAGTAGAAAGCCACAGGCCCACCAATCAGATCCAATGGTTAGAAACCACCATCATGTAATTGGTAAAGTCCAGAGAGTGTAAAAAGCATGTAATTTATAATTATAATAAATTAAACATTTTAATTAACATAAAAAAAATGAAAATCTGTTCCGACAGCGGTGAAACAAGCGTCGTTCACAGGCATCCTTCGATCATTTTGCTCACCGCGCCTGGAGAGTTAAGTTGCGGCTATTCCCTTAATTCACTCACTTGAACTCGCACACACATCAAGAGAGAGAGAGAGAGCGAGATAAAGGGAGCGAGAGAAACATAGAGAGTGAGATAGAGGAGAAACCGAGCGAACGTTGAAGGAGAAGAAACTGAAAGGGAAGAAGGAGAAAATGAAGAAGAAGAACAAGAAGAAGAAGAAGAAGAAGAAGAAGAGAAGAAAGGCGACGGAGACGAACGGCTCACCCGTGCTTTTTCCTTTTCGTGCCGTCGACAATCCTTCAACCGTGCGAAGCCTTCCGAGATCCAACAAAAGAGGGAGTTGGCGGAGGAATCAAACTTCCTAACCTGTTTAGCGTCCATCCGTGAGCAGAGAAGGAAATTTCGCGAATTTCCCGAGGGAAGGAGAGGCAACGAGCGGCTCGAGATAGCCAACCGTAGCCGCCATTGCCCTAACCGAGCCCTCCTCGAGCATTTCCGACCGGTTGCGAGGAAAGGAGGAGGAGGAAGCCGAGCGAACGTCTCAAATTTTACGCAAGCTTCCTCTCGTGAGATTAGAAGGGATCGCGGGATCCTGCTGCGTGCGGGAGAGAGAAAAAAATAAAAAAAATAAATATTAATTTACTTTAAGTTATTAAATTATACTTAATTTAATGAAATTACAAAAATATTTTATTAAACCAATTTCAATTTTGTTAATAATTATTTAAGGCAATTTATGAGAAGACTCAAATCAGAAAAGCAAAAGGGCAATTTCAGGTATAAACTCTGTGTATAATCTTAAATAAATTTTATGATTATGTAAGTTATGTTAAGCCATGTGTGAGAGAAATTTTTTTAGGAAGCATAGAAATTCATTGATATAATTGTAATTATTAAAATAAATTGATGGAATAGTTAATATTTAGACAGATGTATTGATTGAGTATTTTTATGAAAAATAAATCAACAAGTCAATTAAATGAATTACATAAATATTTATGTTGGACTTAAAAAAGTTACTATAGAAATTTATGTTAGACATTCATTCCAAGATGTGTTGTCATGATCCTTCCATATATATAATTAGTTCCAAATTATCTTGATTTCTGAAAGCAATAGGTGCGATAAAAAAAAGAGAATTGATGCTAAATTGAATTCATTTATTCCATACACATACACACATTAGTACAATAGAGTCTTCATAAGGTACCATTTGAGCTGCAATAAAAAAATAGAGAATTAATGTTAAATTGAATTCATTTATTTCATAAACAGTATTCTTAATAATTAATCTCTGGATTTCTATGCATTAGCAACCTATAAAAATGTTGTTAATGAGTACCTTCATATCCGTACTCTTTTCTTGTCCAGAGCTTTGATCGTTCCTTGTTGAAGATACTCTAATGACGAGCAGCAAGAAGGTCCATCTTGGCAAGTCATCTATATTCTGCTGAAGGTTTCTGGACTATCGGCTGAAAAAATTTGTCCCTCAATTATTTCTACAAAAAGTCGTCAGCCTGACGAAGATTTGGTCGGTGATAGGAGAAAGCATCCCGAGGGCAGTAAGCCTTCCAAGAAGAGGCGACTGAAGCAAATGGCTTTCAAGAGTGGGCCACTTGATGAACACGATGATGATGATGAGAAGGAATTGTCTAATGATGTCTCTTGTTGCATCAGAAGTCGAGCAAGTGTCCGACCGTTTCCCCTGGTAAAGCATTGACCAAGCCTGGTGGTCAGGAGGAAAAAGACACCCAAGAACTTCTGGGGGTATGCTACATGGGAACAAGGACACAGCAGGTCCTTCTCAGATTAGAGGGATGAGAGCCGCGGGCTCTCCACCAATGGTTGTTTAAAGTTTTGTGTCTTTCTTTTGGTCTGAGCAGGACCGACTCCTTAATATGAGGAGTGCAGTTGTTTGACCCACTCATTGACTTGGAGAGATTTTGTGCCTTAACCTAACTTGACCTCTTTTTGTTATGTAGACAACCTGATTCACGTTTCCACTCGCCAAAGGCTATCGAGATTAAAGCCCCAACGTCTCAGAAGACCGTGGGGGACCCGTCAACTACCGGTGAAAGGGAGTTGATTGACTATGTAGTTCATTGTATGGAAGAAATGGCAGATTTCTTCGCTCATGAAGTCGAGGTTCGGAAAGAAGTTGAAGCCCAAAGAGAGGCCAGCATAAAAGAACTGAATGTATAGATGTATGCCCTCCACGAGAAGTTGTCGATTGAACTTCTCAACCTCCAAGTATTGAGGCGAGGGTTAGTCTTTCCACAGGTGGTTGACGAGCCAGTTTGTGAAATTTTTCATGTATGAGTATATATATATATATTTGTTTCTTGTATTATCATTTTCTTATTTATGTGAATATTTGATTTTTCCTTTCCTGTGCATGATGCGGGATTTGTGTTCCCGAGGTACAGTCATTGACGTTTCAGCTTCTCTTCAAGCGTTATATATAAGGTTAAGGCCTCTTTATGACCTCATTTCATTCCTCTCCCCACCCTTGGGCCGTTCCTTCATTTTTTTGCATAGTGCCCGCATGGCTTCCAAATATTTTCCCCATATATTTGGGACATTTCCAGCATCAGGAAGCTCTGTTTTGTCTTCTAACAAGGCTTCGAGACTCCAAAAAAAGTATGTCTATGATTATGGCATTATGCTAGAGGCCCCAAGCCAAAATGACCTGGCAATTGACGATTATGGAGGATGGGTCGTGCTATATCGTGATCAATTCCAAGGCATTATGAATCACTCAGCCATTATCCCGATCCAACTAAAGGCAAAATGCATTGCAGCGGTCATGACTTTTGTCATTTAATGTCGTAGGATGGAGGTTCCTTGATCCCAAAAACTCTTTTCTCATGTGTTCTCCTTCAAGGTTGACCCCAGATTGCTTCGTGAATTTTTCTTTGACAAGAAAGATTTGATTGATTGACCTTGAAAACAAGGTCAAGTACTAGAAATTTCACTTATTTTTGGCATCAACGAAGGACTAAGGAATCCTTATACGTCCACCTGGTGAGCCATATAAACGACAGAAGATTTCACCTTAGATCTGAGATTTGGCATCATCTATGGAAGGGAAGAGCCTTTTAATAGTCTAGTATAATTGCGATGATATAATAAACAATGTTTTGAATCAGAGCAAATATGGTCAGATGACCAGGGAACTGTGTATTGTCTGATGTTGAGATGAAATGACGCTTTAAGAAGGCCGCCAAGTCCTCCATGAAGGAGTCGAGGGCATAGAAGTCATTAGGGGAAGGAGAGAAAGAACCTTTGAAAAATATTAAAAGTTCGGATCTCCTTATTTCTACCTTTGAATAGACAGTCGTTATTCAGCAGTTTTGAGCTGATAAATTAACTTTAACTGAAAGAAAATCTTCCCTTTCAACAGGCGACGTAAGGGAGGCTACGCTGAGACTCTTCTATCCTGAAATCTAATGCTGATACTTTTCTGGATGAAGGGTCGATTATAATCAAGAGTATCCCCAGTCCTATGCATCAAGTTTCATTGACCAGGTAGAGAGGGGAAAAGCTAGTCGACTGTCTTCGG